AAATACTTTTGTAAACTGGCCATAGTGGTACACACTTTTAATCCCAGCACTTGGGAGGCAGAGGCAGGTGGATTCCTGAGTTCGAGACCAGCCTGGTCTTACATATTGAATTCTAGGACAACTAGAGACCTGTCCTGAGAAAGCAAACAAAAAGAAAAGAGAAAATGCTTGTTTAAAGGTAGATGTAAGTAAAGATTAGCCATACCTATTGTTGCTTAAGCTAGATTTTAACCATGGTTACTTTCTGTGTGTAGCAATGTGGAGGAGGAGGTTAGTGATGAAAGAAACTTTATAATACAGTCATGTATCACATAATAACATTTTGGTCAACAACAACAGAAAAACTTCTCATTTAGTGATGTGGGCATTGTGGTTCTCACTCACGTATAGCCAATAATGCCTGGCCCTGGCAAGCAGCATGCTGCTGATCCATGTACTTACTATATTTTAACATATTTCAGTTTCCAGCTTCTACTTATAAAATGAAAGCAGTCCACATGTGACACTGGAAACAGCTTTGCATATGTTGTGTTCATTGAATCATTTGATTGCATCAGAAGCCACATAGACCATTCCATGGAGATTTCTGAAAACGCACTCTCTAATGTTCCCACAAGAATGAAATTTCCTAATGCCATTCTCACAACACACCCCCATTATCAAACAGCTCATAAGCATATGTATTTTTTTCAGTTCTGGGTAGGATTTGGAGAGAGTTTCTCTGTGTAGCCTTGACTGTTGTGGAATTCACTATGTAGACCAGATATTGGCCTCCTGAGTGCTGGGATTAAAGGTACATATACTGCTACCCTGATCCATAGTTTTGAACATACATGTGCATATATATGTGTATATATTAAAGACAGGTAGATGTTTATAACCTAGCCTAGTAGCACGGACCTGTAATTCCTGATTTTCAAGAGGTTGAGGCAGGGGAATACAGAATTTGAGGCCAGCTTGAGCAACATAGTAAGACTCTGTTTCAACACACACAGAGAGATGCAAAAATTGAAATTAATAAGGGCTGTGGAGGTGTATGACTTTTATCCCAGCACTCGGAGGCATAGGCAGGCAGATATCCAAGTTTGAGGCTGGCCTGGTCTACAAAGTGAATTGCAGAACAGCCAGGACTACACAGAGAAACCCTGTATGAAAAACAACAAAACCAAAACCAAACAAAAAAGGGCTGTGGAAATGGCTTAGTGGTAGGGGACCTGTCTAACATGTAAGGGGCCCTGGGTTCAATTCCTAGTACCAAAAAGAAACAAAACAAACTAGTGTGGGATGTGGAACTTGTATGTACTTGATATAGGTGCAGCTTGGTACAGGCATATGAAAAAGCAATATGAAGTACTTCAAAATACTCCAAGCAGAGCTACAATATGATCCTGCAACCCCCACACAGGATATATATCTGATGAAAAGAAAATTGCTGCATCTCAGATGCCCATATTGTGTTTTGTTCTGTTTGAGACAGGGTCTCAGTATATTGTTCAGGCTGGCCTCAAATTCTCCATCCTCCTATCTCAGCCTCTTGAGTGCAGGAGTATGTCATGACTTCTGGCTTTCCATGTTTCTTTCAGCATTATGTATAATAGCTAGGATACAAATTCAGCCACCATGTCAATGAATGAATGAATGATAGATAAGAAAAATGTGGTATATATGCACAATATACTTCTGGAATGAAAGAATGAAAGTTGTGATTTGCAGCAACAACTGGTAGTCGTTATGTTGAGTAAAATCAGTGTCACAGAAAAGACAAATACCACACAATCACTTTTAAAACTTTTTTTATTGGGCTATAGGAATGGCTCAGTGGTTAAGAGCATATTCTGTTCTTGAAGAGGACCTACATTGAATTCTCAGCACACACAGGGCAGCTCAAAACCACCTGCTACTCCATTTTCAGAGGATTCAATGCCCTCCTCGGGCCTCTGCAGGCTGCTGCAGGCATGTGATATTATGCATGAACTCACAAAAGGACATACATACAAATGAAAATAAACATATTTTTTAGTCTCTGACCTGGGCAAGGTGGTGTGGGCCTGTAATTCTACTACTTGGGTATTAGAGAGGGGCAGGAGGATGGAGCATTGAAGCCCAGCTTGAGCTCCATAGCAAGGCCCTGTCTTATATCAGAGCTGAGACATGGCTCAGTGGTATAACATTTGCCCAGCATGCATGAAGCCCTGGGTTCAGTGCCCACTATAGCAATAATAAGAATAATCTTAAGGCCAGGTGTGATAGCATTTGCCTTTAATCCCAACACTTAGGAAGGCAGATGCAGGTAGATCTCTTTTGAACTCATGTACATAGGAAGTCCAGCCAGAGCCACACACTGAGGCATTTCTTCTGAGGCATTCCCCACCCCAAAATTTTTTACTGAATTCCTGTAAGTCCTAAAATGAGGCCTCAAGCCCCCTTGCCCTCCTTCTGCTTCAACTGCCAGAATGCTGGGACTGCCGGCATATGCTGCCACACTTGTTGTCTTAGGATATCCAGTACAATTGACCCCTTGTCAACTTGACAGACAAATCACTGTAAAGTCACAACCTTTCATTTCTTCCCCAAGATCACACATTAATATAAACATCACAGTATGAAACATTTTACAAACTTAAAAAGTCCCACAGCCTTACAAATTCACACTTTAAAATTTCAGTCTTCTTTTTTTTAATGCCCTTTTAAAATCCAAACTCTCTGTAAAACTCTAAAAACACTTTTTAAAAAAGTTTAAAGTTGCCGGGCAGTGGTGGCACACTCCTTTAATCCCAGCACTTGGGAGGCAGAGGCAGGTGGATTTCTGAGTTCAAGGTCAGCCTGGTCTACAGAGTGAGCTCCAGGACAGCCAGGACTACATAGAGAAACCCTGTCTTGAAAAACCAAAAAAAAAAAAAAAAAAAAAAAAAAAAAAAAAGTTTAAAGTCTCTCAACTGTGGGCTCCTGTAACATCAAAAATAAGCACTTTCATATTCCAAGAGGAAAGAACTAGGGCACATGATCCAGTCTGTCCTAACAAGACCCCACTATACTGGTACAACTTAGTTTGGTAGGGTTCCTATTGCTGCATCAAAACACTATGACAACAAAAAACAAGTTGGGAAGGAAAAAGTTTATTCTACTTACACACTTCTGAAGGAAGTCAGAACTGGAACTCAAACAGAGCAGGAACTTGGAGGCAGGAGCTGATGGAGGCCACAGAGAGTGCTGCTGACTGGCTTGCTTCCCATGGTATGCTCTGCCTGCTTTCTTGTAGAACCCAGGACCATCAGCCCAGGGATGCCCCCACCCACAATGGGCTGTGCCCTCTCCCATTGATCATTAATTAAGAAAATGTCCTAGATCTTATGGAGCCATTTTCTTAATCAAGGTTCCCTACTCTCAGATGATTTTAGCTGTATCAAGGTAATACAGAACTATCCAGCACAGCCAGGCAGTGGTGGTGCACGCCTTTAATCCCAGCACTTGGGAGGCAGAGGCAGGTGGATTTCTGAGTTTGAGGCCAGCCTGGTCTACAGAGTGAGTTCCAGGACAGCCAGGGCTACACAGAGAAACCCCGTCTTGAAAAAAAAAAAATCAAAAAAAAAAACAAAAAACAAAACAACAACAACAAAAAAAGAACTATCCAGCATGCCTGGCTATAACATAGACTTTAAGAAAAAATACTTCCACATTCGCCAAAATAAGTAATTGAATTCCTGATCACACTGGCATAGTTCCCTTTGCCATCTTTCTCTGGCACTCAACAGCATCGGGGACAGTTTGCTGCACTATCAACTGATGCCTGCCGTTGAGTGACAGAGTAAGATATTTTCCAGAGTCATTTTGGGAAATATCCTGAGCTGTTTTCAGAACATTGCCACAGTCAGAATGTTGAGCTTTATTTGACCTTAACAAACTGTCTAGGACAGATGAGGTCCGCAGCTTGTTCCCTGTCTGCAGCAGCCTGCTTGCCTAGTGCCCCCTCCATGAGTTAGCATCTTTACAGAATTTGCTGAATCTGCAATTGCACTTTGGGTCATTGATTGCTGCTTAGCAACATCAAATCCCACAGCTTTGATTATCATCATTACTATGTACTTCTAAATTTTTTTTTGAGCAGATATAGGGAGGCTTTGAATTTAGCAAGTCCAGAAGAAAAATAGATAAACAAAATTTGACATAAATTAATGTCCAGTTTCAAATGTCTTTTTTAGGGACTCCTCATCTTAGGACATGAATAAAATTCAGTATTATTAGTATCTGCGCCTCATTTTTAATACCTTATTTTATGCCCACTCCAGCCCCCAGTCACAACCAAGATGTTATCTCCTGGTTTTTCCTTTCCTCGGCAGCTTTTTTTGTTTGTTTGTTTGTTTTCCAAAGTATATCTTTTGTAGCTCAGAACCTACTCAGAGGAAAGGCAACCTGAAGCCTCTTTGGGAAGAAAAACAAGATAAAAATATGAAGCTGCTCTGTGACTGCATTGCAATGTGATTGGAATGAGTAATAGTTTCTCATTCTGCTTAGCATCTTTCTCCACCTATCAAACATGGGATTGTACCATGTCTGCCTCGGTGAGGCGATATTACGACATGACCAGATAATTCAAAAAGAACATTACAGAGGGGGGTCTCTAAATATTGTACAAGGCTTTCACTTTCTTTAGAGTCACGCATCAAAGACATCAATTAGAATTTATGATAAAAAATTATTTGCAGCTTATGAAGGCACAAAGAAACACATAATCTGCCAGCTAGAAAACATTCACATAAAGAAACAGGTGGGAAGTGGGGAGACTGGGCACGATTAATCTGTAGCAGGGGCTGCAGTGGCGGGCGGGTTCTAGTGCTTGGCCACGCCCCTTACGTCAGACTTCCCCCCCACTCCCCACCCCCAGAGGCCTGCCCCACCCGCGGGCCCAGTCACACTGCGTCCTTTCCTGCGGGAGCGCAGAGGGACAGTTCTTGCGCCTGCGCATTGCGTCGCTGCGCGTCTCCGAGGCCGCCGCCCGCGCGTCCTCAGGCTCTTTGTGCGCATGCGCGCTCGTACACCTTCTCTCCCTGCGGAGCACGGCTGAGTCAGTCAGTCTGTCGGAGTCAGTCTTCCGAACAGGCTACGGCGGGTACCTCGGAGAGCCAGCTGCTGGATTATTCTGTGTCCCCTCCCACTCTCCCGTCCCACGTCTCTCTTCACCCTTCTCCCGCCCTTGCTCGTGCAGCCATGGCGGAATCGTCGGCGGCCACTCAGTCCCCGTCAGTCTCCTCGTCGTCCTCCGGGGCCGAGCCGTCAGCGCTCGGCGGCGGCGGCGGGAGCCCTGGAGCCTGCCCCGCCCTGGGGGCGAAGAGCTGCGGCTCCTCGTGTGCGGGTGAGGCGCGCGGGGAGCTCGGTCCCTGGGGAGCGCGAGCGACTGGGTCTCCGGGAAGGGGCGAGCGACCTACCCCGGCCGCGGGCAGCTTCAGCTCCTTGGCGGGCATTTGAGGAACAGGCAAAGGGGGAGGGGAGCGAAGGACCGAGCCGCGGTGAGGAAATAACGGGGTGTGAAGAAAACAGGTTGGGGGTGGGGTGGCGAACTAGAGTGGGCGTTGACCCCCTGTAAGGGAGGGCACAGCAGTGGGCTGAAAATGGAAAAGGCTAGGTGCACTGAATGGATCGAGTTCTGGAGGCCCGAGAGCCCGAGGGTGGGTCGGGAGTGGGGGTGACTTAGAGGATTAGTGAGCTACAGAGGATTGTGACAGGTGGGTCATAGGAGAAATGAAGTCGTTAGGACTTTGAGAGGGGTGGTGGTGAAAGAGGTGGCGTTGCAGGTTTGCAGACGGGTTGACACAATCTTAAATGGGTGCTAACCTTCCCAAAAAAAAAATTGTTTTTTGTTCGCCAGAAGGATCAGGAAGTTCTATTTACTGTTTTTGACTAAACTGAATGCCAGATATTTTTTTCCCCTTAAATTCTGAGGTAGATGAGACGTGATGAGAATAGCACGGGAAGATTTGGGAGGGAGCTGCTGATAGTCCAAGATGGATCCTTGGCTGCATCTGCAACCCAGCCGGCTCTTCACCGGTGGTGCATCGTGGGGGTGGGGACTCGCAATCAGTTGCTATATTCTAGAAGATAATAAATACAGTCAAGCCAAGCCATCACCATGTTTTGATTTCTTGTTTTCGATGGCCTATTCTCAATAGCAGTATAACAAAAGGGAACATTTGCTCCAGGAAAAGGAAAATCCAGACAAAGCCTGGGCTGGTTGAACCCCCTTCTCCCTTGTGTGTGAAAAGACTAGGAGGGACGCTGCCGGCCTCCTTCAGTTTCTTTTGTATACATGTCTGCCTACTGGTGGGAGCTGACTGGCAAGCTCCCCTCTGATCAGAGAGATCTGCAGTGCAGATCCCTTCTTGAGGAAAAATATGCGCCACTGGCAGGTGGTGGTTCTTAAAGGGACTGAGTCTTCTGTGGCAAAGAATTTGGTTTGTCAAAGGAAGGATCTTAAGAGGGTTAGAAAATGCTTTGTTGACTCCAGCGCACTCTTGAATTGTGCACATAATATTCCTGATTTTAGCATCAAATATTTTCTCTTATGTTTCCTAATACTGAACCTTCCACCTGTCTGAGAGCTTTGGTGCCCTGCAGAATTCTCCAGTGTGGTAATGGCCATTTGGATAAACGGTATGAAAGGAAGCTTTCTGCAGATAAAAGGAATGAGGCAGCATATTTAGAACCTTGGTTCTGTTTAAACCACCAGCATTTCTCTTCCAAATTTTTGTATTCTGGGCTAACTTCCAGATGAACGGTGGCTTTTCTATAACTTAGCGACTTGGTCCTTTGGCTTTAATCACTGCTTACTGTTTGGTTGGCCTAGTCCTAATTTCAAATTTTCTGATAAAATTCTAGGTTTCAGAAGTTGGCCTTTTGTGCTGAAGATAGAATGTTAAGTACTGAGGAATCAGTCTAACCAGCACCTAGGGAATTAAAATTTTAGCTATGATTGTAATCAAGTGGTGAAAAAAAATGTGATACAAAATAGCCCAGGCTAGCCATGAATGCAAGATAATTCTGCCTCAGCCTTCAAGGGAAGTCTACAGGTATGTGCCACCACACCTATCAAGAATCAACATTTTTATTCTTTTAATGCACTGTCATAGAGGGATTGGCTCCCTTGGTGCACCAGAGGGAATGCAAGTATATACTGCCACCCAGTGAATTTTATATTTGCAGTACTGATATATTAACGTGCAGTATTTTTGTTTAGCTTGTGTTTCTGATATCATTTGCTCATGTCACATGCCACATTGTCACAGTTTTATATTTGCTATTTCCCTGTGTTTTTTTTGTTTTATTTTGTTTTTGTTTTTTTAATACAGTCTCCTTCTGGAACTCATTACATATCCCAGCAGGCTTTGAATTTTTTCTATCTCATCATCTCAAATCCTGGCGTAATAGGTGTGAGCCACTATGCCAAGCTCCCTTGCTTGGGTTTTGTTGTTTTTTGTTTGTTTGTTTGTTTGTTTTTAGCATACCTCTTTGTCTTGTTTCTTTTCTTTGTTTTGAATTTTTTTAGATCAAACCAAGCAAAAAGAGGTAGCCCTGTATAGCCCTGGCTGTTCTGAAACTGGCTCTGTAGACCTGGCTGGCCTGGAACTCTGATCCACCTGTCTGTGCCTTCTGAGTGCTGGGATTAAAGGCATGTGCCACCACCACCGCCACCTTTCAAAATACCCCTTTATGGTAGTGGTAAAGATGCTAAAATGAGGTGTTTGGCCAACAGAGAAATTGATATCTTCAAGTAGTATTGAATAGATATATTTGCCTTGTGCTTTCCTAACAGTATGAATCGCCTAGTATGACCCATTTTTCTTAATGTTTTTGTAGAATTGCTTCTGTGACATCAACTGTAGACATTTTGTCACTATTGACTCTTAGTGAGGGTTTTGTTTTTGTTTTCCTTGTCTTGTAGTAATATAGCTGGAACCTAGGGCCATGTTGCTGCTAGGTAAACCTCTGAGACACATCTCTAGCCCACTATTGGCACTTAAAACATTGTCTATCTGTAACTACAGAAGTACTCAATACATTTCTGTTGAATGAGTCATCAGGTTTACAAGCTGGAAAGGAATACCTGAAATAAGCACTAAATGAATGTCCTATCATAAACTACTGCCCATTGTCAATTAACAGATATCAGCAAGTAGTAATAGTTCAGTACCCCCAGTGGATTCTTGTTGGTCAAGTGACTACTTGAATATAAAAGTCTGTCTTATGGGGCTAGCAAGATGGCCTAATGGATAGAACATTTGCAGTTAAGCCTAACAACCTGAGTTAGAACCCTTGGACCAACATGATAAAAGGAGAAAATTTACTCCCACAGTTGTTCTGACCTCCATAATAAGCACAACCCTCTGCCACTCACTTATGTTAAAAAAAAATAAATCCTATGACCATGTCTTGGTGAAATACATTTATATTCTAACCTAAAAAAATATTTTAAAAGCTGGGCAATGTTGGTGGACACCTTTAATCCCAGCACTTGGAAGGCAGAGGCAGGCAGATTTCTGAGTTTGAGGCCAGCCTGGTCTACAGAGTGAGTTCCAGGACAGCCAGGGCTACACAGAGAAACTTTGTCTCAAACAAACAAACAAATCATTTTTAAAAGGGCTCGGTGTAGTGGCATATATCTTCAACCTCAGCACTCAGAATGCAGAGGCAGATGGATCTCTAAGTTAAGAGACCAGCCTGGTCTATATAGGAAGTTTCAGACCAGTCAAGGCTTCATAACGAGACACTGTCTCCAGAAAGCAACAACAGAAATCAAAGTGTCTTCATAAAGGTGTTCCAGTGAACCTGAATGTCTGTTGTCACCTCTGCATTTCTGATACTGAGGCAGGAGGCTCACCAGCTTTCACTGTACTGAGAAACCCCATCTCAGAAACAAAGGGACTGCATTAAAGTCACCATTTTATTGTAGCCCCTTCTTTCATGCTTCCCTCTCTCAAAGGAGATACTTCAAGGTTTGGCAAGATGAAAATAAGATTTAGTTTATTATTCTAAAATTTAATGAATTTTAAATGATTCCTAAAAATTCTGCTGTGGTTATCAGGTCCTAATTACATGGAAATGCTAACCAGCAGATCATGTGAGGTATGGTTGTAGAAAAAACATGCAAATATTGCTGTCAGTCTTGCTTTGTGCTCTTTACTATGTTCAGTTTTGACTGACTTGTCCAGTAAGTTTAGAAATAGTGATTTCAGAGGCAGACATGTGAGGTTGAGGTTAAAAAAAGGACAGAAAGAAATATGTAATGTTCTTTATGGAGTGAGAATTGCCCAATACCTATACCTATTTTGTTTGAATCTATTTTATGTTTATGGTTGTTTTGCTTGGAAAAAAAAGTGTCTGTGTATATATATACATACATACATCAGGTTGCCGATGGTCAGGGACGGGACTCACAGACAATTATGAATCACCATATAGATGCCAGGACTAGAACTTAGTTCTCTGTGAAAACATCCAGTGCTCTTAATTGGTGGCCTATTGCTCTAGCAATATGTTTGAATTTTAAATATGGTTTTATTTGTTTATTTATTTATTTATTTATTTATTTATTGGTTTGATTTTTCGAGACAGGGTTTCTCTGTGTAGCCCTGGCTGTCCTGGAACTCACTCTGTAGACCAGGCTAGCCTCGAACTCTTGAACTCAGAAATCTGCCTGCGTCTCCCTCCCAAGTGCTGGGATTAAAGGCGTGCACCACTACTGCCCTCCCACCTATTTATATTAATGTCAATATCATTCATTCCTGATTATCCATGGTCGCATCATACATTTACCAACAAATATATGAGCACCAACAATGACCTGATTTCAGTCCTGTGCAAAAGCTGTATTCTCTTAACTGCTGAGCCATCTCTCCAGACATCTATCCATTTAAAAAGAAAAGTTTCAATAACTCTAGGCTTGGTGGTGCTTATTGTTAATCCCAGCACTTGGAAGATAGAGACAGGCAATTTTCTGTGAGTTCAAGGTTAACCTGATCTACATATCAAGTTCCAGTCTACGAAACTCTTATCTCAAACAAAAAAAGCAAGGGGGGTGGGCAACTTGTTTCCTAGGTGGCTTGACATAACATTAGTATGTTTTTTTTAAGTATTTTTTGTACCCTTCTGGCCATAGTAAGTATAGTTATGATACATGTAAAATGCTTGCCACAACAGATGTGTTTAAGAGATAGCAAGAACTGTCATATCAGAATAGTCTAGAAACACCTACTGATTTGATTTGTTTTGTTTTTGTTTTTCAAGACAAATTTTTCTATGTAGCCCTGGCTGTCCTAGAACTTGCTCCTTACACTAGCCTGGCCCTAGAACTCAGATTCA